GGCAGACTGAGTAACTGATGTGTTGTCTCTATGCAAAATGATTTGTCCAATGAGCTTGTTCTGATTATGACTGAAAAGTTATTTTTGTTGGGTGATATATTTCTATATATCACCCAATCACAGGAGCTATAAGTGTGCAGATTTCTAAGGTCTTTATGTGTTTATGAATGAATACTGACCAGAGACGGTGTCTTCAGACTGCCTGCCCTCTAACCTTCTCCTTCTCTGAAACAAAACAGAGACATTACATCACAAGCATGCTCATAAAACACAAAACTTTCAATCTGTAGCTGGGAGTTCCGAGTAGTGGAGCACGGAAGGTCTCCCTGTAATGAGAAACTCTGTCACCCAATGTGCCACCTCATCGTCACTTTGAAGTTAAAAGTATTTGAAGTATTTATTACATTACACGTGCACTATTTTGTTCTTTTACTATGTATTGTATGGGTATTTAACAATGTATTGAATATGTTTTTTAAACTTCTTTTTTACACTGAATTTCACTGTATACTCTATGTACAATGACAATAAAAGGCATTCTATTCTATTCTATTCTATTCTATCATAGATGTGGTATCCACTAGGACACACTCACAGGGGCCATGCTATGCCATTCCACTGAAGATCAATGCTGTGACAATGCTATATGGCCTAGTAAACAAACAGTAATGAATATGTATGGAGGGAAACAGTTACCTGTCCACTCTGATAGGTCAGCCTCCTTCTAGGAAAGCGTGGGCAGCTCAAGTGACCCTCCTAAGGAGACAGGAGTCAGAAAGGCACATTCCACTGTGCTTTTGAAAAGCAAATTCTAACCAATCAACAATATATTACACACAACAGTATCATTAATACAGCTAACAACAGAATTTTCCCCTTTGGTTTATTCTTCATAACGATGAACCATGATGAACCAAAATGAACCATTTTTTAGACTGAATTCTGTCTTATAATTTATCATTCTTTGATGTGATATTCAGATAGAATGTCAACATGAGATTTTTTTCGTTAAAAAGAGTGGCAGGTATCAAAGTCATTCACTGACAGGTAATCCCAGCTCTACCATTTAATTGTCTCACACTGCAGCCTTAATCATTATTTATTTTTGTTATTCAGCATATTGTTTTGTCGACCATGGAAAAAAATAGAAATCTCACTTTGAGTTGTGAAAAATACACATTGTTTCTGCCGTCGCAGCCCGTTATTTGATGAAGGCCACTGTGACGGCTGAAAATACATAACTTTATCGATTAAGGAACATTTCTATTTTTGTAATAGGGGAAGCTTTGCACATCATCAGAAAGGGAAGTAAATTTGTATTTCACGTCAAGACACTGACCTGGATCAGTTTTAGCAGGGGTGTATCCTGGCAGCGGATGCTTGTTTTCCAGTTCTTGCTGCTCTTCTTCCCTCCGAAATCCTCGAAGGTCTGTGGGGTGAACCAGCGCTTCTCAGCAAAGATGCACCTCTCCCCTGGGACGGATACAAGCATGACATGGGACAGTCAGACAGAGCCAGCACACCCACTCAGAGCTGCTCTGGCCCTCTGGGAAGCCTCTGACACAAAGCTCACCTGAACAGCTTTCACTCATTACTACTGCTGCAATTTACTGCTTCCTTGCGTTACACTCTTATTCAGAGCTTCCTGTAAAGCGTAGTGGAAGAAAAATACACATATAGGCAAACAGTAAACCAGTGGTCTTCACTTCTGGTCCTGGAGAGCGACAGGGTGTGCTAACCAATGTTGATTGAGCAGCTAACTCACCTCAATTGGGTTTTTTGGTTCTGAACTTGTTGTGAAATTTCAGGTGAAAAGAAAAACCAGCTGCAGCAGAACAATTAAAACTGAGAAAATCATACTGTAGCTGTTCGCTGTGAAACATCTGTGGCTTTGATTAAATTCTGCAGTTTGCCCCAAACAGGTGAGTGAATAATGCTGACAGCACCTACCATGGGAACCAGTCTTTTGTACCTTCCTTTCTGTGTGCATGCATGCACACACACACATACCCAACCACACACACTTGAACTCCATGCTCCCTTCTGTAACACCTGTCCTCCTCACCGTTGGCCAGCTTGTCTCGGTGAAGAGTGCCCTTTTTGTCCCCACAAGTGACAGGAAGCTGGACCTTGTAAAGGGGCCAGTTCCAGATGTCCTCCTTCGACCCCTTCCTGATTGGAGAATCTGGGGCACACAGCAGCAAGACATCAGCCAACACAGACAGTGCAATTACTTTAATGCTGTTTGTGTTAGCGCATGAATGCAAACCTTAGGGGTTACAGTTTGCACACTATTGCATTACATGACATGTAAGACATTTCTTTGATTAAGGATCTGTTATTTAACTCAGAGCTGTACTTTAAGCTGCATGTCTAATTATCTGAAGGACAAGAAACTGGAAATCTTGAATCTTGACATCTCAGTGTAGTTACTTTGTTATTACAGGACTAATCAGTCAGTGAAAAGACATCCCCAGAATGCAGTTTTTTTTATATCTTCCTAGTTACTCAACAATGAGAACAAAATTGTGTTCTCATTTGACCCAAGCCTCAAAAAGTTGTTTTTGACTGAATTTTGGCCTTTGACCCACTGTAAGTGGGCTTCTGGTATTTCTTCTTTTTGCTTGGCGTGGACTTGGTGGAAGGACCCGGATCTTCCTCCTCTTCCTCCCCACTCTCTCTCCTCTTTCCATTCTTTTTTCCAGACTTCTCCTCCTTCTTGGGCTCCTCAAATGTTTCTTCCTTCTCTGGCAAGTTTACAGAGAAGTCGAAAGTTCCTGGATTTTATTTTAAGGGGGAAAAAACAAAACATATATCGAAGTTAAATCGACAGATATATAAAGCACTTTGGAAATTTGTGTAACTGTACATGAAATCTTTTGGATTCTGTCTAGTCAGATTTATGAAATGTGGATTTAATCACTTAGGAATTCTACTCAGTTATCTGAAAAAATTCGACATAAATCAGAGCGACTGAAATACGTCTAACAGGCCCCTTCGACTCATCCTGACTTTCTTCAGCTACACATCACACCCTGTAGTTTAAAAATGGTTCTGCATAACGATCCAGGTCTGAAAATTGACATGCCTGTGATGGTATGAGTATTTTGGCCTTTACATCTATTTTGTGATGTTTACATCCATTTTCTCCAGTTTTCTAAGTGATGTGACATACACTGTTCCCCCTATTACAGATGTAATGTAACTATTTTTCTTGAAAAAGTTACTGAGCAAATGGGGAGGTGCAAAGTTTAAAAAAAGTTCTATGAACTTGTACAAATTACATCAGCAAGTAAGTCTGGCCTTTAATTACACACTAATAAATAATTGAATTAAGAAGATTAGCATAACAGGTGATGGTAACTGTTTTCAGTGAACAGGGTAGTTTAAATTATTTAAATTATTTTGACATAGAATTAAAACAAGACCCAACTCACATGACCTACGGAGCCTATGGAGAATGTACTTGGGGTTACGGAACTGAGTGTGTTGCTAGGTACTTGCGGATTTAATTCCCAGCTTGTTTATCCAAGTGTCTAACTAGTCTCACCCTAAATTGAGACTACCTGTATACCACTGTTACAGTTACGTTCTGAAAGCCACCACCATGGTGCGCTGTGATAAACCAGGACTGGACTGAATAGAACACTGACCGTCAATTAGGCTGCGTTTCAGCAACTGAAAGGTAGGGTACTGCCGCAAGATGTGGTCTTCAAAGACACAGGTCCAGAAGAGCTTGATACAATCGGACCGCTGGTTCTCCACCCAGTCCAGCACCTGGTACACTCCTTTCTGTTTTTGCGACTGGGACTTCATTCTAATAATTTTCTACACACATACAGACATTGGAAAGGCAAATCTCCCATCAGGAAAGGCAGAGGCACGGTAATGTACACACAAATCGATAGATGGGTATGGTTGATATTATGTAACCGCAGCTACAGACAGATTTGGCACGATAAATTATGGTCTAGTGAAATGACTCAGTCGTACTGCTCAATGACTCACCTGATACCTGTCCTCCGGAATGAGGTGGTGGTCTCGCAGCTGGGTGAGAAACATAAAAGGCTGCTCGATACACGACATCTCCGTCTTCTTACAGTGGAAAAACGTGAGCAAATCCTTATCGTCTATAAAGTGCAGCGGGTCCATGCTCGCAATGCGATGGGCCGAGGTGTTTAAACCTTACTCGATTTCGTGACCTGAAACATTTGCAATGTACCATACAGTATAGCATGAAGTGAAAACTATAGAAACCTGGATCCACCTATTTTAAAATTCGAGTTAAGTCAGCTTAATAATCAAACTGCATGCGTTTGAAGTTTAATTAGTTACATTATCAGCTCATATAACTTTGTACACAATTTACGTCATTCCCTTCGATAAATCTGTTTACTCAATTACTAAATGTACCAGACTGAATATGAAGCGCTGTCAGATTCAGACCATGTTTGTTGCATGTTATTATCTTACAGAGCCATACAATGGAAAAAGTAAAATACATAAAAAATCGGAATGCCAAGAAAATAAACGCACCAATATGTCATGTACTTCCTCGTCACTTCACCCGCGTTTGTAATTCCACTTCGTCAACATTTATCTCCCGCCCGTTTTACATACACTTCAAAATACGGAAGCACACTGCACAGTCCACTACTTATGACGATGCGAAAACGAAACCGAAACGAAAACGAGCTGCTGGAATTAGTAGAATAGAATTTTATGAGATATATTTTCGGAATCTTGTTGGTGTGGTTCATTAAGTTAAAACCTAAAACTTTTGGTATATTTTAGTATATAACTGCATTTCATTCATGTTCGGAGAAACGACATATATTTTAAACTCAGAGTGTTTCATGCAAAACACCAACAGTGGTGGGAACTCGCGTTGAAGGTCACTCAACCACTGCTGCCAGTCCATCTCTCCCACAAGTTATAAACACAAACATTTCCCGGGTCAGACAGTGATGGGAATAATTCTTTGGCCTGGTGTGGATTGATGTAAGGAGAGGGAATCGAACCCGCTCCGTAGAAGTGAAGGTTCTGGGTTCTAACCACTGGACCAGATTCAGGTGGAAAAGTATAACAGTATCAAGAAGACAGAAAAAACCCAGCAGGTAAAGCACATAAATCAGGTTTTACTCAGGAAACAGTCTAGCCAAAACACAGGCAAGCTGAACTCAAGACTGGGCGATTAGGCTCAACCAGAGCACGGTTTAAACAATCTGAAAAACAGATGCAAACAATCAGCACTAGGCTCAAGGTTTGATAAGGTCATAAATGTCGCCTCCTGGTGGTGTGGAGGAGAACCACAGGCAAAGTTGTCACAATGGAAGGCAAAGAAAATGCAGTGCAATGACCCACATGAAACTACACATTGTAACAACCAACATTTTATGCAACATCAACATTGTACATTAGTTGCAATGCACAGGAACAATTATTATTATTAATATTGTTGTTGTTGTTATAATCTTAGCTTGACTTGTGGGGCATCAACAGCCATACCTAACATTTCTCCCATTCTGTGGCAATTCCTTCTGCACCATTGTGACATTATCATAATTATGGCATCTTAAACACCTATGGGAAAATGCATAAACTCAGTTCCTTTTGACTTAATAATTACAATAAGCTAGATATGCTGCATGACGTGACATGATTACATAAATACATTCCCAAAATGGACTGTCTATGAAGTTAAGCCTCTATTGCCCCAATTATAAATTTACCATCCATGCTATGACAAGATATGCTGTTTTCATTAGAAGGTTTTTTGTTTACTTTTTTCTCCTCTTTGAAAACAGGATATGCCGGTTAATCTAATTATGTCTCTCAGTCTATAAATCATGCTGGTTTGACGGTGTAATGATGAAGCAGCACAGACAGAATTGGGGACACGATAACAATGCTGACATGCCAAATGAGCTTTAAGGAGCAAAAAAAGGGACACATTCACATAGACTGCCCACATCCGCGCTTCAATTTCCAGGCCAAAATATGAAATTTTAACATGACAGTAAAATATACCAAAATCTCTGATGCTGTTCTCCAGTGATCAGACAAAGAGGATTTTCAGCTGTTATAGTTTAGGTGTACATCTTCATGTGTCTGATGGTGCCTTGCTGGTGACATCTCTGGTCAGTTTTTCTGCCGTGACACTCAGACAATGTCATGTGAATCTACAGCCAAACAAGAACATCATGACGCAGAGACATGTGAGTAAGTGGACTATATGTAATTCACTGGGCTTTAGTAGCCCTGTTGGTACTGGCAGTGTTTTATGGCCTTGTGGTGGTGTCAAAACCAGTATAGCCACCCATGTCATCGTAGATGACATCATTGCGCTGCTGTGCAAGTCGGCGACTCTCTTGGCAGTGGTGGACGGTTTGGAGGACAGTGTGAAGGCGGCGGTCCAAGGCGGAGAGGTGTGGCTGAGCGAGGAGGGGGGCGACGGAGGTGAGGGGGTCCTTGGATAGAGATTCCCGCATGACGTCGCTGAGGCGGAACTGAGGGAGGGCGAGGAGTCGTAGACGGAGAAAGGTGGAGCGCCGGATCCTGTAAAGTAGAGGAGAACAGGAAGGGAGGGAGCAGAGAGAGGGGGGCAGCAGAGGAGGAATTTAGGGGTACACTACACTAGAAAAGCACTTAAAATATTTCACATTGTTAGTATGTCCTTATCAGGATAAAATAAATACATTTGGGTTAACTTTCTGCATTATTTTCTCAACAAAAATTGCAGTTACAACATCTATTTTACACATTTCTATGTTTTTAAAATTAGGTTGATTTTCACTTCAAAGTTCTGTATACACAGAAACAACAACTGAAATAACTGAATATAATAATAAGGCAATCTATCTTATTACATTCTTATTACACACTTAAATAGTAATGAAACAAGGAAGTACATTCTTAGAGAGTAGTTATTTAAATACAATGGAGCTACACCTTATAGACTGCAGACTATGAAGATTTACAGGGCTAACAGTTACCATACAACTCTACCCCTTTATATTGAAACCCCATTTATTGTTGAGTGGTCAGTTGCAGAGAGGGTTGGTGCCATGGCAATCATCCAGGAGTTAATGGAGGCAGTATGTTTTACCTGCAGCACTGCTGCAAAGGAGCCAAAATGGAGGGCTCGTCCTGAGAGTGACGGCCAAACCTGTAACACATTACAAAAATCACATCCACTGTACTATATATATATGATCCTTCATCCCATTTAATGGAGAAATAATGGTTCTTTTGGCATGGCAGAGAACATCCTTTCACAAAGTTCACAAAACAGTGATTGCTTTTATACTCACGCCCGTCCATTGTCCAAGTGCAGAAGGTAAGTGTCATTCCCAAACTTTTCAAAAGTCTCATAATGGTGTCTGTCCATGTTACCTGTACGTTGAGAGGGACAACAAGCATATGGGCTGTTAATACACAAGACTTTCTTTAACATGCTTGTATTTTCTGCAAATGAATAAGCAAATCAATAAACCCACTGATCCCTCAAGCCGTTGGTTAGTAAATGGTAAATTCAGCTGTGAAATCAATTTAGCCCTAATTCTGTTAATTCTTTACAAACTCATGAGAAAGTCCAGTATGGTCATGTCTATCAGGTCCACAAGTCTGGTTCCTTTGTTGTAGGGGGGAGTTTTTTTCACTGTCGCACAGAAGTTTGGGTCTTTTTCCCATCTACAACACAGAGAAGGCCAGTGATGGTTGACTACAATGGTTGATTTCACTTTGCTTTGTTATGAACCCCACAATCCTCTCTGTATTAAGTACTGCTGCTTTGACCTTAACCAGAAATAATGTACAAATTGTGACTCATGTGTAAATAATATATGTTACTGTTTACTGGTATGACGCATGATCTTGTCCATTGTGATATATACATGAGGTTTTAACCCTGCTGGGTCTGATTATCTCACCAAGAGATTAAATATGTATCCTCATAGCTCAATGCTTTATTCCATAATCAGACATTTGACGAAGCTGCAGACATTTCTACCAGTCTTTGACTTTCCCTTCATGCATTATTTATGGTTTCATGGGTCCCCTTCCGCCCCATGTAGCGTTGCCCGGGTAACCCTTGCTGTACCCACTGTGCCAGTTTGCTCCGGCTGTACGACCTCCTCCAGGGGCTTCTCCAGGACCTCCGAGGTGCCAGGGAGAGGTCGGGCAACATGGCGGCCAACGAGGCCTCCAGCGCCAATGGCCGCCCGCACACGGCGTGCTCTGTCGAGCAGTAATATGAACACTGGCCGTAGAAACACACGTTACCCACTGTGGAGTGGGGACAGGGGTTTGAGAGAAAGTGAAAGAGGGATAGAGAGAGAGATTGAGAGAGAGAAAGAATCAGAGACAGAATGAGTTTGATCCATCCTTACATAGTCCTTACAAAATCTCAACTTGAATTATTGACAAGATGCAATACAGATTTCATACTTAAAGTGAGCCAGTATAAGAAAAGAGCAGTTGCTGATAATTACAGAATAGGATTCAAAATACATTTCATACATGAATCCAATAAGAACTAGACAGTAACTGAGAATTGACTGATAATGGGTTTTACATCCATATTGCTTCATACGTGGACTGTGACACTGCAATGGTAGAAATGTACATTTAGTCCTGTGTTATCCAATCAGTGGGCTGGAACTCATGGTTTGATTGTGAGATAAATGTGACAAAGGAAACATACAATGTGTCACCTGTTACTTTGCAGACACTGTGCCAGGTCAATGCACTGTATTTTAGAAGTATGCATTTAAAAGATATGCTCATGTACATCTGAGTAAGAGGTGTGTCACAGAAAATGTATTTACTCATTATGTGGGCCCTGGAGTAAAGCTTGTGGATAACCATAGCGGAAGAGACAAGGACAGTGAGGCCAGGGCACACCTGGGGAGGTGTAGAAGGTCCTGGCTAGTTTTCGGTCTGTGGTGATGTCTTTAATCTCCTTGGTTACATTGATCAGCCTCCCGACAACTGGGGGGATTCTCTGAAAACCCAAAATCCTGAGAAAAGAGAGTGTGAGAGAGAGTGAGAGGGAGGGAAAGAGAGGGGGAGGCCATGACACATCTGTCATTAAATGAATACATAATGTTTGTTTCTGACACTCAAAACTTAAATCATTCCAAATTATAAATGAAAAGCATCTAATTTAAAAACAACTCCTCAAACTTCAGGAACCACAATTTATATTGGACTGAAACTAGTCTACATAGGGAGTACTGCCAGTAGCACTGGAAGGTACTGGAGAAACCACTGCCTTAGCGTTTACCTGTCCAGGTGAAATGCGGCGATTTCTGCATTGTGCCTTTCAAAGTCAGAGAAGTAGAACAGGTTGAAGTCTGTCTCCACATCCCGCTCCTGCCTGCAAATGGCCCAGAGACACAGTGACACAGATACAGAGCTCACTGGGAGAGCACACAAATGGAAAAACTTAAGCAAATATTCCACCAATTTCTGGCCACACAATAGACACCGCGCCGCAACTCAGTCAACATTTGCCTTGAACCTTGACTCAAAATGACAACCAAATGTTCCATTTCTTTTTCACCACCACACTTTGCCTTGATGACTTCAAATGGCTTGATGACTTTTAAGCATTTTTATAAAGCATTCTCACTTCTTTGGTTTGAAGAGCGCCTGGCCGTAGTTTGGAAAAGTCATGATTAGCTTGAGCTGTGTACCCCCAGGTTTCTGCACTGAAAAACACACAAAATCAAACATGTGAGCCTGTGACTCACAATGGCACGGACACACTCCCACAATGTGCACGTCCATGCAGACACACACATACATGGACACACCTAACACTCTAAGACACTATATTGCTTGTGTAATCCACAGAGCCTCAAACGTACACTGTGTATTATTTAATGAGTGCAGTTCATATTAACTCCACCAGGGGGTGCCTAAACTCATAGATTACAGAAAAACAGAGCCTCATCGGGCCAGCACCACCTGAAGTTCCCCAGATTGTAGCATTAGCAGAAAACATGGCTAAAGTATTAATGAACAAAATAATGCATTACTGGAACCTTTTTGAGTCATAAATGAACCC